ACCGGGAACTGAACTCACGACCTTGCACTTGCCAGGCAGGCGCTTTGCCACTGAGCTAAATCCCCAGCCCCAGTATTGCCCTTAATGTTGTCTTTCTGTCATAAGTCAACTGATACTGGAAGCCAGAGGGAGCATCCGTCAGCACAAACACATGCTTGCCATCTTCTCCCATTGATCCTTAGGGCAGCCCTAGGACATTTGCCACTCTTGCTGACTCAGTGCTCAGCAGTTTCGTTCTTGGAGAGGCGTATGTGCCCTCTCCGAGTGAGGAGCGCCAGCACCTACCAGGGCTCTAAGGTGAACCATGCAAGAGAATTAACCACAAAGTTTCTTGAGTGCCTTTTCTCAGGTTTTCTAAGGACGATCCATAACTATTAGCATCAGTATTTGACTGATGATTTGATTGATGATTCTCTATCATCAATCAAAGAATGAACTATGCCAATATGTTAAAAAAGCATTCCACCTTATGAGCAAGAGTCCATTTTCAAAGTAGTCTAATAAATATTTTTTGAAAAGCTTTTTTTTCTTTTACAGTGTTAAGGACCTAACCTATGGCTTTGTGTGTGCTCTGCCACTAAACTTCCTTCCTAGCCCCTTCGCACAGAAAGGCTTCTTAGAGAATACACTGTGGTTAAATTTATTTAATTTGTACTAATTTGCCAGTTTCAAACTAAATCTATATTTTCATAAGAGTTTTTTTCTCTATCATCCTAACCCTAATTCTAATTCTAGGTTATCCTGTGACTCGGAGAGCCAGTGGGCATTAGTGGTACAGTTTGGCAGGCTCCACAATCTGAAACTGAGCACATCCTACCTTAGAGAATGTGCCAAAGCAAACGACTGGCTACAGTTCCTTATTCATAGCCAGCTCCACAGCTACCAACCAGAGGAGGTAAGCATATTGCTAGTGGGTTCTCAAGGAGAGCTGGACACCTCTGTGAAGATAATGTTCTTTGCATAAACAAGTTTTTTTTAATTTTAAAATTTTTTATTAGTGTATGTTTACAATACATAATATATACATTCATTGTGAGAAGTTGGCATATATACATATCAAGCCTTGATCCTTTTTCTTTTTTTTTCTTTGTTCTTTTGTTTGGTTTTTGTTTTCTGAGATAGGATCTTGCTATGTAGCTCAGGCTGGCCTTGAACTCACAGCATAGCCCAGGCTGGCCTCGAAGTCACAGCAATCCTGCCTCAGCCTCCTAATGCTGGAATTACGGGTGTGCACCACCATGGCAGTACTCTTGATCCTTTGTAATTCCACTTCCCCTTTACTCTCTCCCAATTTCCCTTCCACCCCCGACATCCTTTCCATCTCACAAAGTTGATCTCCCCGTTTTCTGTCATCTTTTATTTTGCTCTTAACTGACTTACACTTTGGGTTTCTCATGTGAAACCATGTGTTATTTAACCTGAACCTGATGTATCTCACTTAGCATGGTGGACCCAGGTGCACTCATGTTCCTATAGAGGGCCAAATTTATTCTTCTTAGCTATCTATCTATCTATCTATTTATTTATTTTTGGCTTTTTGTCGTCCCCCCCCCCCCAACCCCGGTACCGAGAATCAAACTCATGACCTCATGCTTGCCAGACAGGCACTGTGCCGCTGAACTAAATCCCCAGCCCTTCTTCTTAGCTTTTTAATATGACACATTTTTACTAACAGTTTGTGGGTTGATGTCAGATATTGATAGTCTGTCTAGTCCTTAATACTGAAAAGCTTGAAAAGTTTTTGTGACTCCAGATTGAAGACAGAAATACACTCAAAAGAGCAACTTTGTAAAATGATGTGGTCACCTCTGACATAGTTCAAGGTGGGAAAGAGGAATTTTGCCTGTGCTTTTCTGTAATATATTCAGCTCCGGGTCAAACTAAAAGTTGGGTGTCTATGCTAATTGCCTGATATGCTTTGTAGGTGAAATCCCTTCTTCAGTGTTTCAGCCCAGTCCTGCAAGACCACTTACAGCTGGCTTTTGAAAACCTCCCCTCAGTATCCAGCTCTAGAGCGGACAGTGATCAAGTCAGTACTGAGATGACTAATTTCTTTGAAGTTCTGCTCCGGTGCTCAGAGCGACCAGACTCCTGGCATTGGCTCCTGGCTGAGGCAGTGAGACAAAAGGCCCCTGTCCTCAGTATCCTGGCTTCATGTCTCAAGGTGAGGGGCGGGAGAAGCCTAAATTAAGGACCTAGAGAGCAACAGAAAAAAATAGGGACGAGAAAGGCTAATCATAAGTGGGCTCACGATGCCAGTGAACCCCGGCATGTGTCAGGGTCCCTAAACCACTTCGTCGTCTTTATCGTAGACTGGTCTGTGTCGTTTAGTACTCTTCCTCATGTGTTCACACTCGGTGAGCTCAGGTGGCAGAAGCGTGGTTCCAGGGAGGAACTGGTAAATACACATCCCCGCTGCTTCAGCAGGGAGGGAGACGGTCCACACAGTCCCTTAATTGCAGCTCCACGGAGGACAGGCATGTTCCGCTTACAAGCCTCTCTGTCTTCCTTGCCTTTGACCTGCCACACTCTGAAGGACCACTTCTCATAGTCCCTCTGTTGTTCGTTAGATTTTGTGTCGTGTTTGGAAGCTTTTAAGCCATCTTAACTAACTGAGATGACTTATTCTAAATAGGAAATACTCATCTGTCGCATTCATTGTCTGACAGGTAGCCCAGGCTCTTATTTTATTTTGAAAATTGTTTATCTGATGTCAGGATGCCAGTGCTGTTTCCTGTCTCTGTGCTTGGATCATTACCTCTGTGGAGGACAGTGTTGCTGCTGAAGTAATGGGACACATTCGCGGCTTGACCGAAGACCATCCCTGGGACCTTGAGGACTTTTCCATCATCTGGAGAACGTTATTAACAAGGCAGAAGAGCAGAACTCTTATCAGAGGTTTCCAGCTTTTCTTTAAGGTAGTGAATAATTCAGTTCTTTCCAGAGGTCACGGGCATTACTTCAGCATGTCCCTCTTTGGCTTTTTCTTATTCTCATCCCTAGATTTTGTTTTTTGAGCCAACAATAGGTTATAATAGTAATAGAATGTTTGTTTGTTTTACAGTGCTAGGGATTGGACCCAGGGTCTTGCACATGCTAGGCAAGTGCTGTACCACTGAGCTACACCCCCAGCTCTGCCATTTATTTGGTAGTGTTCAAATACATTATGTTAGTAAGTTCTCACACCAATCCTATCCAAGATAATATAGGAGGATTTTATGAAGTGGTATTATCCTTATTTTACACACTAATAAACTAATGCTCACAGCATTTAATTAGCCTACCCAAGAACTCAAAGTACTTTATACTTTGTAATATGTTTAGAATTCAGATTCATACTTTTTAATCCAAAACTGTCCTTTTTGGATTCTGGGGGTTGAGAATGGGACCCTGGAGCCCAGCGTCCAGCAATGTATGTTAGAGACACCATACTGCCATCTAGTGGATCACTCCTGCCATCTGCAGTGAATCAAGGCTAGAATAAAAAATGGATTTGTTGAATAGCTGTACCCATCCTGAGTATCTTTTCTTCCAAAAGGAAATACCACTTTAACTAATCTTCTTTTTAAGATGTATAACTTAATTTTACTTCGAGGCTGTTTTTAGAAACATTTAACATTCTTCTATTTGCCATTATTATTGAGAAAATATCAAGGCCAGGATTTTCTAATTTCAAACTCTTCTCCAAAGGATTCCCCATTACTACTGATAATGGAAGTATATGAGCTGTGTATGTTCTTCAAGAATTACAAGGAAGCCAAAGCTAAACTTCAGGAATTCCAGAAGAGCCTTGAAACTGTAAGTTGACGTTAGAGTGCTCTTTCTCACTGCTCTAAAGTTGGTTGGCGTGGCCTGCTGCCTGCTGGTGGTTGGGACGGGGTCTCAGGTGAACAGTGCTGTGTAGTGTAATTCAGACTAGATCACTTGCACTGTTCCAGAGATGGGGAAGCGAGGGCAGGAGCCACCGGGATCGCACTTGCAGCAGCTCATCGTTGCCATGAACAGAAAGGTTTCATGTAATTGCTGTATTATGATCACTTTTCTGATTCTGCAGCTGAGCTCAATGGAAAAGGTTTAGTGGTCCCTCTGGACACCGGAACAGAGGGGAGGTCATGGGCCACATTTGGTCAACCCAGGAGAGCCCCAGCTTTATTCATTATCAAAGAAAAGAATAATTTTTTCATCAGTGCTCTTGGGGGTTGTACAACACTTGTCTAAACAGTGCTGAACAGGTGGTCAGTCTTCGGCTCTGCTTCTTCAAATGCTTGTTTCAGACCTAGTTATCATGCCAAAATTAGTAAGCTTTTTTTTTTGAAACAGGGTTTCCCTATGTAGTTCAGGCTGGCTTTGAACTCACTGTGGAGCCCAGGCTGGCCTCAAACTCACAGCAGTCCTCCTGCCTGAGCCTCCCGAGTGTTGGGATTATAGGCACGTGCCACCACACCCACCAACCTTATACTGTGGGCGGAGGGGAGTGGAAGCTGTAAGAAAGAAGAAGGAATATGCCCTAGTCTTGCTTGGTATTTTCAGTACTTTGGCCTTCTGTGCTTCCCAAGAGCTCTATGATAAATGAGACACACATGAATACCTAGTTTACCCACTGTGAGTATCAAGTGAAACATCTCTCTAGGCTTTTGTTCCTAGTCACAGTAGTCTTAACTCCAATGCAGATATAAAAGCTGTATGTTTGAAAATACTGAATCAGTTATTTAAGTAAGGCTAGGGTGCCTAAATCACACACACACACACACACACACACACAAATACATAAGTATATCTGCTAATTTCCTTACCGTAGTACTCTGAGACCGGAGTCCTGCCAGGGTCTCCTTGTTGCTGCTGGCCTGCCAGGCCCAGTGTTCTGTGGAGACGTTGCAGCTGTCGCCTGAGCCCGTTACCTCCCTAGTTCTTTCATTTGCCTGTGGTAGTCCCTCTTCTTAGAGTTGGAAAGTTAGGTTAAAAAGGTCATAAAGACTAAAGACTAATACCCTAATCCAAGCTGACTTTTATGAAGACACTTAAGAGGATAAAGGATCAAGAATAGATAACATAACTTTTGACATTTGTACAGTAAGTCCTCTGTTACAGGAGAATTATTCATAAGTCAGATTCGTTCATAAGCCAACAAAGTGAGTCTTATATAGTACACCTGTGAAAGTTCATGACTTAAATGTTCGTGAAGTCGGAGACTTACTGGATAGCAAACATCCACCACAGTGCCTAAGCAGGAGCAGGAGCTAACAGGGAGCTGCCTCCTGGTCTATCATTTTCATTGTCATCCCCTTATATAGCAGTGAGGGAGCTTCTCCGAAGCAAAATAATCTTTCTTTAACAATAGTAAGTGGCCCAGCATGGTGGCACGTGCCTGTATTCTACCTACTTGGGACCTTGAAAGACAAGGATACTTGAACCCAGGAGTTCAGAATCAGTTTCAATAATACAAAAAGACCCTGCCTCCAAAAAAAAGGCAGTTAAACCATATTGAATGTGACAATGAGAAACAGGTAGGACTGGGCTGGGGATTTAGCTCAGCGGCAAAGCACCTGCCTGGCAAGCACAAGGTCGTGAGTTCGGTTCCTGGTACCGGAGAAAAAACAAAAAAAAAAAAAAAAAAAAGAACAGGTAGGACTGTACAGAATCTGGGAAAGAGAGTAGTGAAGAAAATTCCAAGTAGTAGTAGGGAGACAGCAGTAATGTGACACGAGATTTTTTAAGCCATTCCTTAACTGAAGACCTTGGCAGTATTGGGCATTCCTTTGAAGACAGTATTGCAGTCTACATTACAGCCAGAAAACCCGTTATGTGTAATATCGTACCTTCAGAGTGACTGTTTTTCCTTTGGTGGTACTGAGCATTGAACCTGGGGCTTTTGCACTGAGCAGCATCCCAGCCCTGTGTAAATTTTTTTAAAATTTGGAGATGGGGTGTTGGCCGGGCCTGATGGCGCACACTTGTAATCCCAGCACTTGGGAGGGTGAGGCAGGAGGATCATTGTGAGTTCAAGGCCAGCCTGAACTGCATAGCGAGATCCTGTCTCAAAAAGGGAAAAAAGAAAAAAAATAGGGGCCCTGAAGATAGCTCGGCGGCACAGTGCCTGCCTGGCAAACACAAGGTCCTGAGTTTGATTCCCGGTACCAAAAAAAAAAAAAAAAAGAGGGTCGCACTAAGTTACCCAGGCTGTATTTGAACTTGCAGTCCTCCTGCCTCAGCCTCTCAGTGCGCTAAAATTACAGGTGTGGCATGCACTACCAAGCCCTGCTTTCTTCGTTGTCGTGTTTTTGTTTGTTTTCTTGAGAGAAGGTTTCTCTAAAGTGCCCTGACCAATATTGCAGTCCTCCTGCCTCTCAGCCTGCAGAGTACCTGGGATTACAGGTGTGTACAACTGCACGCAGCTCAGGAATTAACTTTATATTCCACTGAAAGGCCTAGTATTTTTTACTGTGTTGTGCAAAGTCTAGAGTGAACTACGAAATATGCAACTACAGTGACTAAGAACCAAAAATTAGTCTTGCAAAAATAATACAACGAAAGGGGCCAAATAAAAATCAGCAGTGGAGTGACAGAAGCGTCGTGTGGGAAAACACACTCCTCAGAGAGTCAGGACAGTGTCCACCCACTTGTGGACAGCCTGCCTCTCAGAATCATCTCTTATTAGCAGTTTCAGTGTGTGATTCAAATGACAAATCCAGGCTTCTTGGCTTGAACACTTCCTCTAACAAAAATGTAAGGTACTGTACCAGCAAAATATGTAGTAGAACCGGCTCAGCAGTGATAAACAAGGCTAAGAAAGCTTCATGATCTGAAGATTCTCTGGACTTAGGGACAGCCCTAGAACTGTTTTTAAAGAAGCTGCCACAAGGTGTTGTGGCACATGCCTGTAATCCCTGTTCTCAGGAGGCCACGGCAGGAGGATTGCTGTGAGTTCGAGGCCAACCTGGGCTACATAGTGAGTTTAAGGCCAGCCTCAACTATATAGCAAGACCCTGTCTTGACAAAACCAGAATTAATTAATTAATTAATTAATTAATTAAAAAAAGGAAAAGAAAGAAATGGCTAAGTGAAACGTGTCTGGTTAATATCACGGCACCTCAGAGGGCTGTTACCAGGACAGACAGATTAGGAGGCACTCACAGGCATAAACGCTTTAGTTAGCACTCAGCCTTTAGCCCTCTCAAGGCTGGGGCTGCAGCTTAGCTGCCCCGCGTGCACGAGGGCCGGTTCAGTCCCCCATCGCGGAGGGGCAGTGTGCAGAGAATTCTTACTCTTCACACGTGCAGCTCTCTGCACGGGGGCTAACCACAGAGAGCTCACACACAGAGCTGTCAAGGAGGCTTACCCCTGCCCGTCCTCCGAGTTCCCTCACTCATCCCTGCCGTTTGGGCAGCGTCTGCATCGACCTTTTTGATGGGACGTTACTCCTCAGGGTACCTTGGCTTTCTTGTTCCCTAATTTGGAGATTTGGAGATTTGGATTTCTTATTCCTGTGACTCATTCTCCCTGAGCCCTTCTTTTACCTTGTTTTTTTTTTTCATAGCTTGACACAGCAACTACAAGGGTCCACCCTGTCCTCCCTGCTGTGTGGCTGAGGGATCAAGTGTGTTTCCTTTTGAAGCTTATGCCACAGCAGTGTCAGACGCAGTATGAGCTGGGGAAGCTCTTACAGATGTTCGTTGGAACAGAGCATCTCTTCTCTGATGGTAAGACAGTCCTTGGCCAGAAGTTGTCATTAAGAAGTAGCTTCTTTAGCCAGGCGTGGTAAATAAAAGAAAAGGGGTTGGGATATAGCTGAGTAGCCCCTGGGCTAGTGAAAATCTAGTATAAAGGAATATTATCATCATTAAAAAACTCTGAAATTATTACACAAGTATAAGACAACTGTAAACAACTGTAAATCCAGCCCTTTGGGAGGCTGAACCAGGAAGATTGAAAGTTCAAGCCCAGCCTGAGTGACTTAGTGAAACCCTGACTCAAAATGAAATATTAAAGCGTTGTGGTGGATGGGCAAGGATGTAGCTCAGTTTGAAAGCCCTGGGTTCAATCCCCAGTACCACATACACACAAAAAATAGTAGTTAGCTTTCGTAATCTTGAAAATGTTTTAGGAGGGCAGTCAGGAAATAAGAATGCATATGATATTTACAGTCTAGTGACGAGTTACAAATAACTTCAAGTTTGGATTGAAACATTGAGAACATGGTACAACAGCACCTAATGTAAGAAACATAACCAGTCTTCTTACTCCGTGCAGTTGTCAAATAGCTCTGCTTCCCCCGGCAGGCCCCCGCCTTAGCATGTCACTGTCACTCTTCTGCCTGTGAGAACCTTAACCAGTCGCAGTTGCCCAGGGCTGCAGACCATTTCACAAATGCGTAATCTATTTTGGAAGGTTCAGAGACAAATTATGCTTTTTTTCTCTGTCGTGTTCCAGATGTTGACGATCTCTAAGGTTGATGCTTATTTAATTAAAAAAATTCTTACTCTCTTATACTTGTGTAATAATTTCAGAGTTTTTTAATGATGATAATATTCCTTTATACTAGATTTTCACTAGCCCAGGGGCTACTCAGCTATATCCCGACCCCTTTTCTTTTATTTATTTTTTTTTTAAGAGAATAAAAAAAGATACAGAATTTCAAAACAAGATGATGATTAACAATGGTTATTATATTGCATATTGTTATCTTCAGTGTAGTTGCTCAGATTATCCCCCTTTTTATTTTTGAGACAGGGTCTTTCTGAGTTCCTTAGGCATGCCTCAAACTTGCAGTCCTCCTGCCTCAGCCTCCCAAGTGCTGGGATTATGTGGGTACATCAGTGCACCCAGTTTCTGGTTGATTTTTTTTTTTTTTCAGTACTAGGGATTGAAGTAAGGTCCTCACACACATGAGGCAAGTGCTATACTACTGAGCTACATTTTCAGCGCAATACTTTTTTTTGAGTCAGGGTCTCATTTCATACTTCAGGCTGGCCTCAAACTCACAGTGATCCTCCTGCCTCAGCTGTTGGGATTACAGGCGTGCAACACCATGTCTGGCTCCAGCACATTTTGTTTATTTAATTTTTCTTTGCACTACTGACAGTGAATTCAGTGCCCCATGCATGCTAGACAAGGGCTGTTCTGTTGAGCTACATCTTTATCCCTTTTTCTGGCAGAGAATTCTTAATATCGTTAAGATAATAATTTTCAGGGAGAGGCCAGATGAGTTTCCTTATTCTAAGTCAGTAGCAAGCAGATGGTGCTCGTTCTGAATGTTGTGTGCACATAAAAGCCTGGCTGATGACCAGCTGCAGGTTCAGCTGTCCTGCGTGTTCTTCGTCTCAGTCTGTGTGATGCCTGCTTTGAATGAACAGGTGAACAGTCATTCAGACAGATTTCACCGAGGTAAGGAAAAGTCCAGAAAGAGACGGGGCTACCCTGAGTGAGTAGCTAAAACTAAACTTAGCCAAGTTACTGCCTTGCCGCTTTCTGCATTTTAGGCCACCAACCTGTGCTTTGTATGAAAAGTCAGATGTATAGATTGAGTCCATGTGCTGTTTTAACAGTTCTTACTTTAGGAAAAGTTGTGTTCACCTAAACCTTACCAGAAAGGATTTTGCAGGGCCAGATTTTGGCATCTTTGGTATATGTCTTCTATTAGTCAATCAGAGTAGAAAAGTGTAATTTTGTTTTTCCTTTAATCATGCTAATATATTAAACATATCTATTTTCCACCTCGTATTTCATTACTCTTGAAATACCATAGCAGTGTTTTATTGGTTAATATTTATATCCTCATGGATAAAAAAGTTGTGGTCTTTTTTTTTTTTTTAAATGTGGTCTTTTTTATATAATGGAGTATTACTCAGCCATAAAGAAGGATAAACTGTGGACTTTTATAGGTAAATGGGTGCAACTTGAGACCACACTCGTAAGTGAAATAAACCAGATGCAAATGTGTAAAGATCGTATTGTCTCCCTAGTGTGAGAAGCTGAGAGAGTACATGTGATCCAAAATGTACAATAGATATTGTAAAATGGGAACCAACTTCAGAAGGAAAGAGAAACTGGTTTAGGGGAGTGGGAAAAAAGAAGGGAAAAGCAAAAGGAAAAAAGTATATATACACACAAAAGATAGTTAAAATATACTACTAATCTCAGTTCATGAAAAAGATAGTGTTTGGACAATTAAATGCTGATATCTCATACCCTGAGTAACTAACTTAAAGATAACAGTATGCAGTGTATTAACCATTGTTACCCTCCTATCATATTGTTCTGGAATTTTGTTTTTTCTTTTTCTTTAAAATAAAAATTAAAAAATATTTATACCCTCTTCTTTTGGCACAGCTCCAGATATAAAGAAGTTGTATGTCCTTAGCCAGATTTTGAAGGATACATCCATACCCATTAATCATACAATTATTACCAGCTACAGCATTGAAAATTTTCAGCACGAATGTAGATCAATTTTGGAAAGACTGCAGACAGATGGACAGTTTGCTTTGGCCAGGAGAATAGCAGAATTAGCTGAATTACCTGTGGACAACTTGGTTATTGAAGAGGTATCATTAATCTTTTTTAAGTTATTCAAAGCTTTAGCTTTTTAACCCTTTCTCTGTTTTTTTCTTAACAATCCTGGGGTTTGAAACCAGGGCCCCACAGATAATAGGCAATCCCTACTCCCTTTAAATTTTATTTGGAGACAGGTCTCTCAAAGTTACCCAGGCTGACCTTGAACTTGTCATCCTCCTGCCTTAGCCTCCCAAGTAATAGGGATTGTAGGTGGCACCACCACACTTGGCTTCCTTTTTACACTTGGCACACACATTACTTCCAGAAATGGATGAGCCTGAGATGTTCACCATTGAAGAATGTAAGTGTAGCCTGCAGGATATGCTGCAAGTATTTTCCTCTGAGTAGAATTAAATATATCGTGGCTTCCTGTTGAACTTGATAGGTTCCATGTTCTCAGATTTAATTTGATTTTAGCAGTTACGATGTAGATAAGGAGCATTACTATTTATGATACTTTATTATCTAAAAAGGCTAAAATGCGCTTGTTAAATTTCACAGATAAAACAGGAGATGCAGGCACTAAAGCACAGCAAACAGTGGCCCCTGAAACAAGCAAGAATTGACTTCTGGAAAAAATGCCATGAGAATTTCAAGAAGAATTCCATTTCAAACCAAGCGGCTTCTTCCTTTTTCTCCTCCCAGGCCCATGTGGCCTGTGAGGACCCGGCGGGAAGAGGCAGTGCTGAGGAGCGCCATCTGCTGCTTACCCTGGCTGGGCACTGGCTTGCGCAGGGGGACCCAGTGCCCTTGGACAAGCTAGAGGAGCTGGAGGAGCAGGTCTGGGTCTGCCGCATCACCCAGCACACACTCCGAGGGCAGCAGCAGGAAGCAGAGCCCAGATTTTCTCAACAGATTTCAGCTAGTGGTGAGCTTTCCTTTGCTAGCTTAGCCGGTGAGTTTTCCTTCTCCAAGTTGGCTGCTCTGAACACATCTAAATACTTGGAACTGAATGGCCTTCCGTCCGTAGAGACATGTGAGAGTAGACTGAACTGGAAGGAGCAGGAATCACTGACCTTTCTGATCGGGCGCCTACTGGATGATGGCCGTGTGCACGAGGCAAGCAGGGTATGCCGGTATTTTCATTTCTATAACCGAGACGTTGCCTTGGTGTTGCATTGCCAAGCCTTGGCCTCAGGGGAAGCGAGTGTGGACGACCTGCATCCAGAGATCCGTGCTCTTCTACACAGTGCTGAGCTGCCTGAGGAAGAGGAGGAGCCTGACGTTCTAAGGAAAGTCCAAAGCAGTAAGTAAAAGAACTGCCCTCTGTCCGAATCATGCTGTTAGCACTGTCTCCAAGAGGGAAGGGTCCCTTGTGGCATAATTACTACATTTACGTAAGGAGACAGCAATTTTTTCCAGGTAATTTGTGAACTAGGTAGTTGATAATTACGGATTACTAGGTAGTTGCCAATTTTCTATTTATGGATCACCTGGAAATAGTTACCTAGTTTGTGGATTACCTGGGAAAAATACCTACCTTCTAACTAGGTGGGTGTTAGAGTTAGAATCTGTCTGATTTAAAGCTAGTTCACTGAAATGTATCGTATACAAATAGTTATGTTTTCAGTTGCACATGGATAGTATATAGCAGTGGTGAACCTATAGCATGCATGCCACAGTGGGCTATTTGTATCTTGAAAGCTTGAAAATGTCTGCCATCGCTGGTATATAGGAACGGGGTAGACTTTTACGTAAAAGAGACAGTTCCGTTTCTTTTCCAACCTCTCCACCTTTTATTTTTCTTTTGCTTCATGGCATTACCTCGGCTTTCAGTCCTGCGCTGGTTGGGAGGGGTGAGAATGGACGTGCTTGCCTTGTTACTGGTCTTGGGAGGAAAGCAGTCAGCCTTTCATCATTACAGATGGTAACAGCTGTAGGCCTTTTAAAAATACACTTTCATCTTGGGGAACTTCCTTTTTATTCTTAGTGAAAAATTTTATCATGGATGAATGCTGACTTTTGTCATATGTTTCCTGTATCTGTTGACCTGATTATACAGGGGTTTTTTTTTAATTCTTTAGGCTATTATTATGGTAGAATACATTAATTGATTTTCGAATATTGAACTAGTCTTGCATCCTCAGGATAAACCTCACTTGGTCCTGGTACATTATCCTTTTTTATATACCTGGAATTGATTGGCTATTTTGCTGAAGATTTTTATATTTGTGAGGAATAGTGATCTGTAATTTTTTTTTAATGGTACTAGGGATTGAACCTAGGGCCTTCGCACTAAACAACATTCCGAGCCCTTTTTTATTTTTTATTATTTGGGGCAAGGTCTTGCTAAATTGCCAAGGTTGGGCTTGAACTTGTGGTCCTTCTGCCTCTGCCTCCTAGAGCGCTAGGATTACAGATGTGTAATCCCAAACCTGGTTTAATGTGTGATTTTGAAGAAAACCTTTCTTCCCACCTTTTGGGTTATCTGAACATTTTTTAGACTCTCATTTGAATTTATTGTGACTTTATTTATATATCTTTGTATAGTTGGTTAGCTGCTTAAGGGATTACAACATTTTTTAAATGAATGGTATATTTTGGGGGGATTTTTATGCGTGTCTGTTTGCAGTTCATAATGTTTACATTATCATAGGGAGTAGGTATATGTACTTCTTAACATGTCTTAATTCCTTTTTTCCCCTCCCCTGCTTGTCCTCTTTCCCCCTGCCATATCTAGATCCCTTTCCCATTTGCAAAAGGTCTACTTCCCTATTTCCTATTGTCTATTTTTATTTTCTTTCTAAAACTTATTTGTATTTTGGATTTTTTATACAAGAGAAACTGATATTTAAGCTGTCTGATTGAGTTATTTCATTTAACATTCTGGTCTCAGGTGCATCCATTTTCCTACACATGACTCAAGTTTATCCTTCTTTGTGGCAGAGCAGTGCTCTACTGTGTGTAAATACCACATATTCTATACCGTCCATCTGTTGGTGGACATATAGGCCAATTCTGAGATTTAGCTGTTACGAGTTGTGCTTCTGTAAACCTGAGCATGCATGTGTCACGGCAGTATGATGTCGTTAACTCTTTTGAAAAGATACCTAGAAGGGGAATAACTGGGTTGAATAGAATTTCTACTTCGATTTTTTAGGAATTTCCATACTGATTTCCATTCCATGGTGGTTGTACTAGTTTACATTCCCATCAGAACTGTCAAAGGGTGCTCTTTTTCCCAGCAGCCTTGCCAGCATTTGTTATTATTTGATTTTTTGATAATAGCCATGCTTTCTGGATTAAGATGAGATCTCAGGTGTTGTTTTACTATATATGCCTCTGATGGCTAGAGATGTTGAGCATTTTTTCATATATTTATTAACCATTTATACTTCTGAGAAGTGTCTTCATATCAGCTGCCCATTTTTTGATTGGGTCTTTTATTGGGGGTGTGTGGTTATTTTTTTCAGTTCTTTGTATGTTCTAGATATTAGTCCTCCATCTGAGGGAAATGTAGCAAAATATTTCCCCATTCTACAGGTTGTTTCTTCACTCTGTTGATTATTCCTTTTGCTGTGCAAAAGCTTTTTGATTTGATATAATCCCAGTTGTTGATTCCTGATGCTGTTACTTGTGCAACTGGAGTTCTCTTCAGAAAGTCCTTTCCTGTGCCTGGGTCTTCAAGAGTTTTACCTATTTTATCTTCCAGGAGATTGTTCCTGTTTTAATATTTATGTCTTTGATGCATTTTGGTTTTATTTTTGTATATGGTGATAGATACTGATCTAATTGAATTTGCTGCATGCATGTGATTTTTTTTCTCCACACCATTTTTAAAAGAAGCTGTCTTTCTTTCAGTCTTCGCTTTGGGCCCCTTCCTCAAAGATCAAATGACAGAATGTGCCTGGGGTTGTTTCCTCTGTTCTGTTCCTTTAATCCATATTTCTGTGTTTGTGTCAGAACCTTTCTGTTTTTATACTGTAGCTTTGTAATATAACTTGAAATCCAGATTGTGATGCCACTTTCCTTGTTCTTATTGCCCAAGATTACTTTTGCTAGTCTGTGTCTCTTCTGGTTCTGTATGAATTTTAGGATAGTTCTTTCTGTGAGGATTTCTATTAGTATTTTGACTGAAATTGCATTAGGTCTATAAATCAGTTTGCGTAGTGTGGTCATTTTGACAGTACTCACTGTGCCTATCCAGGAACAGAGGTGTCTTAGTTACTTTTCTCATTGCTGAGACAGAATACCCAACACCCAAAGTTAAAGGAGGAAAGATTTATTTAGCTCACAGTTTGTAGAGGTTTCATTCCATAATTGCCTGGGTCCAAGGCAGGGTGGCACATGGCAGAGGGGCAACAGTTTCTGGTGGCAGAAGACAGCAAATACAACAGGAAGGGGAGACAAGACTCTTTCTGTCCTTTATATTTTATGCAGGCCACCCGCCCTAAGGCAGATACAGCACTGACACCCTTAATCCTAACCAGAGCTACACCAATCATTGGTTTACTAATCATACACCCTGCATCCCAGCATCACACACTCTAGATTCAGCCACTTCTGAAAACGCGCTATGACCACATGAGGCTTTGCGGGGATATCTAGCCACAAACTATAACAAGAGAGTATCTCTATTTTCTGATGTCCTCTTCAATGTCCTTTTTCAAAGACTTCGTTATAGAAGTCTTCTGCTTCCTTGCTTAGGTTAATTCCTATGAATTTAATTTTTCTTGATGCCATTGTGAATAGTATTGTTTTCCTAATTTCTTTTTCAGTGAGTTCATTCTTGGTGTACAGGAACATTATCGGTTTTGTGTTTGATTTTGCACCTTGCCATGCCAGCTGTTCATCTAGGAGTCTTTTGGTTGGATTTTTGGGTCTTCTGTATACAGGAAGATGTCATCTACCAATAATGATAATTAGACTTCTTCCTTTTCTATACGTGTCCCTTTTATTTCTTTATCCCTTGGGTTTTTCTGGTTTGTTTTCTTGTTGGTTTGTTTGGTTGGTTGGTTGTTTTGAGACAGAGTCTCAATATGTAATCCAGACTGGCCTTGAACTTGCTTGTGTAGCCCAGGCTGGGCTTGAACGCACAGTGATCCTCCTGCTTCAGCTTCCTGAGTGCTGGGATTACAAGCATGCACCACCATACTGGCCCTGTTTCTTTATCTCTCGCCTGATTGCTGTAGCTAATGTTTCAAGGAATCATTGAAGAGGAGTGGTAATAATGAACATCCTTGTGTTATTCCTGACTAAGAGCAAGCTTTCAGCTTTTCCCCATTTCAATGATGTTGGCAGTAGGTTTGTCATAAATTACTTTAATTAAATTGAGATAAGGTCCTTCTCTATTTTTTTTCTTCAGGGTTTTTATGAGTGGCTGTTGGATTTTGTCAAAGACTAGACATGTGTCTCTTGAGATGTTCATGTGACTTTTGTACTCGCTTGTGTTTATGTGATGAATTACATTTATTGATTTGCCTATGTTGGGCCATTCTTGCATCCCTGCAGTGAAGCCTACTTAGTCATAATATATGATCTCTTTGATGATTTGTTGCCATTCTGTTTCTAGACTCTTGCTGAGGATTTTTGCCTCTATGATCATTAAAGAGACTGGCCTGTAGTTTCATTTTTTAATTGCATCCTTGTCTTGTTTCGGAATCATGGTGATGCTGACTTCCAGGAAGGAGTTTGGAAGTATGCCTTCCATTTCAGTTTCGTTAAAGAGCTCAAGGAGTATTGGTGTTATATCTGCTGTGAATGTCTTGTAGAATTCAGGGGTGAATGCATCAGATCCTAGGCTTTCCTTAATGGTATGTTTGGTTTTTTTTTAAATTACTGCCCCAGTTTCATTGCCTTTTATTTGATTGTTCAGGGTTTCAGTTTCTTCTTGGTTCAGTTTTGGTAATTCATATGTCTGTGAATCTGTCCATTTCTTGTAGTTTATCTCATTTGTTGGAATGTAAGTTTTATATAAGTAGTTACTAGTGTTTGTTTGTTTTGTTTGTTTGTTTGTTTTTCTTCTGGTACCGGGAATCAAACTCACAAGCTTGCGCTTGCCAGGCAGGCGCTGTGCCGCTGAGCTAAATCCCCTGCCCCAAAGTAGTTACTAATGATCTTCTGGATTTCAGCAGTGTCTCTTTTTTTTTAAGAGTAGGAAGAATTTATTGAGAGAAAGGAAGCTTCTGTCTGAGAGAGACAGAAGGGGGCCCAGAAAGTGGGTTGCCCCTCAGCAGTGTCTCTTGTAATAGTGCCTTTTGCATTTATATTTGCCTTGATATGGGTGTTTCTTCTTTTGATAAATTT